CTTTCCCTCTGCACAATTATATAGTCAGAGCCGAAAGTATATCTTTGTCATTCTGTCCTCAAACACGAACTCTTTCCTCCCCCTGTAGAAACGAAGACGGACTTAAAACAAAGCGTATTTCCTTTTTCACCACCAGAGGCCGCCAGCGTTCAGGGACTGAGTCAGGTGTGTATGGGAGTTTGGGCCGATGTGGGTGTTGGGAGGTGAGAGACCACTGGAGGGAGTTTCTTGTTCCATCAGAGGGGACTTCCCTTTCTATTGGGCTTCCCCTGCAATTCCACATCAGAATGCCAGAGACACCCACGTTCTTTTTTTTTTTTTGAGAGATTTTTGGCTATAAGGCACGTGCACAGAGAGATAGAAAGTGAGAAATCACCCCCCAGGGGGGATGGCCACGCTGCAATCCCTTCTCCATTCTCCTCTTGGGATCTTGGGCACACACGCACACACACGCGCCCAGTGTGAGTTTAAGCCACCGGGTCTGGGACTCGAACCATGGTCAACTACGGGGGAAGCCAGCAACATAACCATTACACTAACTGCTGGTCCCAACACCCACGTTCTTCTGACCACCTGCCACTGATCTGAGCCCATTCCTCACCTTACACATGTCACAGGCAGGTATCCTAAGCTCCAGCTTCCTGTTGGGAGTCCTGTGAACCCATTAGCCCAGGGATCCCGTGTGGAGGTTATTACTGCATGCCGAGCACTACCAAACATGTCATAGGAAGGGTCTTCAAAAAGGTCATTGAAAATGTGTACTATGAAAAATATTATGCAAGGATTTCTTTTTTTGTTTTTCTTTTTCTTTTTTGGCACCAAAATGCACTCATACTTTCATTCCATTCTTCTGCATATATTTCCAAGTTCATGGGAATATTTGTAGAATATTTAGTTCAGTAGATAGTGTTGTTTAGTTTAGTTTGGTTCAGTAATAGTTCAGTAGATCAGTGTTGCCAGTGTAGATGGTGTGAGGTAGGGATGAGAAATATTCATGTTCGAGTGTCCTTAATCCTGAAAACATGAGGTATAATCTACTGTTATCCATTTTGCACATGAGGAAAGGAAAGCTCCCTGCATGTCTCGGTCAGCTTGAGGGGCATAAAGAAATACCATAGAGTAGGCAGCTTCAACACCAGACGTGTTTTCTAACAGTTCTGGAGGCTGGAAGTTCAAGGTCAAGGTGCCAGCGTGGTTGGGTTCTGCTGAGGGTACCTTTTCCTGGTTTACCAGATGGCTGCCTTCTCTCTGTGTCTTTCCATGGTAGAGAGAGAAAGGTTCTGGTCTCTTTTTCTCTCTTTTTGTTTTTTAGGTTTTTGCCACACTCACCAGAGAAAGAGAAGTGAGAAATCACCTCCCAGCTGGGTTGACCATGCCGCAATCCCTTTTCCATTCTCCTCTCAGGATTTCAGATATGGATACATTTGTGCCCAGTGTGATTTTTTTTTTTCTTTAAGAATTATTTTATTTAATTATTCATTCATTTACTTTTTTTTTTTTTTTGGAGAGGTTTTTGCTATAGGGCGTGTGCACTTGCCAGAAAGCCAGAGACAGAGAGACAGAAAGTGAGAAACCACCCCCCTGGAGGGATGGGCATGCACACACACTCTCCCAGCGTGAGTTTAAGCCACCGGGTCCGGGACTCGAACCGCAGTCGACTACATGGGAGTCCAGCGACATAGCCATTACACCAACTGCTGATTCCATCATTCATTTACTTTTTAAATTTGACCAGAGAGAGAGAGACACACAGAGAGTGAGCGAGGGAAAGTAAGAAAGTAAGCCACCAGGTCCAGGACTTGAACCATGGTCAGCCATGTGGTAGTGTCCAGCGCCCCAATCATCACGCCACCTGCTGGTCCCAATTTTATTATTTTTTTAAAGAGCTTTTTGCCATAGGGCACGTGCCTTTACTGGGAAGAAAGAAAGAGAGACAGTGAGAGAGAAAGTGAAAAATACCTTCTGGGGCAATGGCCGTACTGCAGTTCCTCCTCATTCTCTTCCTGGGATCTTGGGCACACACACACACACATGTGCCCAGCATGATTTTCAAGCCACTGGATCTGGGACTTACATTGCAGTCAGCCATGTGGAGGATCCAGTGATATAAACACCACACCATCTGCGGGCCCCAACCAAGTATGATTTTTCAAGCCACCGGATCTGGGACTTGAACTGCAGTCAGCTGTAATACCTTAACCACCATACCACCTGCTGGTCCTTTTCCTCTTCTTATAAGGAAGTTAATTCCATCATGAGGAACCCACCCTCATGACCTCATGTAACCTTATTACCACAGGAAGATCCTATTTCACTTTGAGGGTTAGGGCATTAGCATATAAATGGGGGGCGGGGACAGTGTAGTCTGTAGCTCAGGGATTGACTGATTTCTCCCAGGTCACGTGGCTCGGTAACAGAGCCAGTTCTCAGCTCAGGACCCTGGGACTCCAGCCCTGGGACCAGGAGACTGATGCTGTTAAGCCCTTAACTGCCACACAGTGGCATCTTGCGAATTCTACAGCGCATCAGTCACCCTTGCCCCTGAGGCCGAGGTTAGCTGAGGTTTCCGAGGGACTTCTGGTTTCCCCTGAACTCATTGGAACAAGGACTTTTCTTAGTGTTTGTGTACTCGTCCCACAACAAGGCCAGTGTGGCATAGAATATATTCTCGAAGGACACAAGCTCCTCTTGCTCATTATCTCCTGTGAGATACAGGGATAGTCTGGACCACCATCTCTTCTGTTACAGCCACATGGCCTTTTTTAAACTACAGAGGCAGTAACACTTTTAAAGCCATCTACACTCTCAGAAATAGCCTCCAGGAAGCTGTCCCATGGAACATGAGTTGGTAGTTAGGTCATTTTTAATACAATGTAGCTTTCTTCTGCTGCTCAGTAGATCAGTGTTGCCAGTATAGATGGTGTGAGGTAGGGATGAGAAATGCTACTGACCAAGACACATTGGCAGGAGCTGAATAGTCTGTCCGTGTGTACTTTTTTTTTTTCCTGTTTATTTATTTATTTCTTCCATGAGAGAGAAAGAGAGATAGGCATCCCTACCAGAGTCTCCATGCCATGATCCACTCTCATCTCAGCCAGCCAGGATCACAGGCAAACACACACACTATACCTGGCGTGCACAGGGAGGCCACAGGGTGTGAACCTGGGACTTCCCACATGGAAACATGGAGCGTTGTGTCACTGCTGCACAACCAGGCTAGCCCTATATACTTGTTGCATTTGGTAAACCGGTATGCATGTGTGTGTACATATGACATGCACACAGACCAGTCATGTATAAGTGTGTATTTATATATGATCCAAACATAACATGTTAGGAACTGATAAAGAGAGTTCAAAAGTAGACCTAAGAAAAAAATAAGAATTTGGGGCTGGTAGGTGGTGAAGGGTACTTGACCCCCACATGGCCGACCATGGTTCGAGTCCTGGACCTGGTGGCTTGCTTTCTCTCTCTCTCTCTCTCTCTGGTCAAATTAAAAATAAATAAATAAAGTTAAAATAAGTCTTGGGGCCAGCAGGTGGTGTGGTGATTAAGGGCGCTGGACTCCCACATGCCCGACCATGGTTCGCGTCCTGGACCTGGTGGCTTGCTCTCTCTCTCTCTCTCTCTCTCTCTCTCTGGTCAAATTATCTCACTTTCCCTCTCTCTCACTCCTTCCCTCTTTGGTCAAATTAAAAATAAATAAATATAAAATAAAGTTAAATAAAATAATTTAAAAAATAAGTCTTAAAAAAAAAAAAGAAAGAAAATATAAGCATTTTTTGGAGAGGTTTTTGCTATAAGGGCGCGTGCTCTCGCCAGAAAGACAGAGACAGAAAGTGAGAAATCATCCCCCGGGGAGATGGTCACGCCACAATCCCTTTTCCTCCATTCTCCTCTTGGGATCTTGGGCACGCATACACACACGCGCCCGGCATGAGTTTAAGCCACTGGGTCCAGGACTCCAATCGCGGTCAACGTGGGAGTCCAGTGACATAGCCTTTAGGCCATCTGCTGGTCCCGAGAAAATATAAGAATTTATATATGACAAGCTGCATTTCGATTTGGTGGAAAAGGGAGGATTTAGTACTTTAAGAAATAGTGCTGGCATAACTGTCCATCCACCTGGAAGGAGAAATGACACGCCAGATGCCCTGCCTTACATCAGTAACACGAATGTCCACATGGATAATTGATCCAAGAAAGTAGATTAAAAGAAAGGTAAGGCAGGACCGGCAGTTAGCGTAATGGCTATGTCGCTGGACTCCATGTAGTCGACCGCGGTTCGAGTCCCGGACCCAGTAGCTTAAACTCACGCCGGGCGCGTGTGCGTGCGTGCCCAAGATCCCGAGAGGAGAATGGAGGAGAAGGGATTGCGGCGTGACCATCCCCCCTGGGGGGTGATTTCTCGTTTTCTGTCTCTCTGTCTCTGTCTTTCTGGTGAACGCACGCGCCCTATAGTGAAAACCTCTCCAAAAAAAAAAAAGAAAGAAAGAAAAGAAAAGAAAAGAAAAGAAAAGCAATAACATTTAAGAGTATGCATATATAATTCGGAGGTAGAGAAGACCTATAAAAGCTAGCTGAGGGGCCCAGCAGATGGCATGGTGTTTAAGGCACTGGACTCCCACATAGCCAACCACAGTTCGAGTCCCAGACCTGGAGGCTTAAAAATCACACCAGGCACATGTGCATGCATGTCCAAAATCCCAAGAGGAGAATGGAGGAGAAGGGTTTGCAGTGTGGCCATCCTCCCTGGGATGATTTCTCACTTCCCCTTTCTGTCTCTCTCCAGCAAGTACACAAGCCCTGTGACAAAAAAACTTATTAAAAAAAAAAAAAAGAAAGAAAGAAAGAAAAGAAAAGAAAGAAAAATAAATAAGCTAGCTGAAAAATTTAGGAATTATTATTTTTTTTTAAATGATTCTTTATTTATGTAATTCCATTTGTTATTATTATTGTTTAACTTGACCAGAGAGAGAGAGAAAGAGAAAAAGCAAGCTGCTGGGAAAAAAGCAAGCCGTTGGTTCCAGGATGCGAACCATGGTTAGCCATGGGAGAGTCCAGTGCCTCGAGCCTCACACTGCCTACTGGCCCCATGGAATTTTCTTTTTTAATTAATTTATTTTTTTGAGAGGTTTTTGCTATAGGGCACGTGCGCTCGCCAG